GTTCCGACTTTTTCGAAGCTAGTAATTCCTCCTGTAAATGTCCTCATACTGAATTCCATCGCATTGTTATTTCACCGTCCAGTTTTAGAGTAAGTACGATACACCATCAAATTAGCCTCAAGACAGAAAACAAAAGGAGGTTTGAAGATAGGTTTTGGATGAATCGACGAAATGTTCCTAAGAAGAAAAGGAGAGTGAAGCATTGTGAAATTAGAGAGCATGATTCAGATAGCTCGGATGTGAGCGAGAATAATGAGAATAACTGCAGTGGAGAAATAAAACCTGTGTGCTACTCGAGAGAATCAAGTAACGTAGATTCTGACTTCAATGCTTCTAGGGATCAATATGGCGAATCATCTCATTCTGATGACAACGGTTCTGATACTTCAATAAATTCACTTACCGTTACGACAGAGGTTGATAACCGAGGTATGCCATTTAATGCGATGGTTTCATCGCCCATATTGGCAGGGGCTGTTGATGAAATAGAGAGTCTCGATTTGTCTAGTAATGATGTTTTGAGAGAAGATGATCTCGATTTCGATGGATCATCAAGTAGAGGGGCTTCGGATGCAAGTCAACATAATATGACAGGAGTCTCGAATTTTCGTCTGTGTCAATGCCATCATAGCTCGACACGGAACTTCTGATGCTGAGGCTAATAACTGGTTCAAGTTGAGCAAGACTGCGTTTCCTGAGAGCAATATTCCCAATTTACGGCCTTCAAAGGACAGTAGAACGTAGCGAAAGCAAGCGAAGGGACTTCTATGAGAACTTCAGAAATAGGAAAGCGATGGCAGCTTGATTTTGTGTTGGAGTTGAGAAAAATCATTGCAACGAACATCCAGGAAATTTATCGCTATTCAACTGGACGTAATGAAAACACGGGTCTTAAAGTAAGTATCCCACTCAATCACGAGCTACAAACTCTGAAAATCCATTTGTTATTAAACTCAGATGGAGTGAATGCCTTTAAATCCAATTCAAGATCACTTTGGCCTGTTTGGTTAGCCGTCGCTGACCTTCCTCCCGTGAAACGATGTATGTACAAGAACATCACGCTTGCCACTTTGTGGTATGGAAAGAACAAACCAGATTGGAATGAGCTTTTCCAGGTATTATGTTACAAAAACGCTTTCCAGTTTAGTTTTTGAATTAACCCTCGTTGAGAGGTTTTGAAGCACCAAAAATCAAAACGAATTGTTAGATCAATTGAAATTTTCTTTAAATTCAAGGCCTAATGAATTAACTTTGTTTAATTCCTTTATGTTGTAGACATATGATCCGTAAAATGATGTATTGCTTATCGTTTTAGGAACTGCAAACTAAACTTCAAGTAACTGACTGCTCAATCAACTTTCTTGGACAACTTTGAGCCCCGACAACTTGGACAACTTCTTGGACAACTTTGAGCCCCGACAACATTGAGCACCTAAGTTTTTGCGTCAAAGTGTTAATTTCTGATATGCCTGCAACAGCCGCTATGCTAAATATGCACCACCATAGACCAAAATTTGGGTGCACATTGTGTTTTGCAGAGTCAGATTTCAAAGAAAATATTCGTTATTATCCGAATAAGATCTCTAAAATGAGGGACAGTGAAACGCATTGCCAAGTTTTAGAAGAATCGATGTTATTAGACAAGCCCTATAAGGGAGTTAAAGGACCAACGAAGCTTTCGGCTAATTTGAAGGGATTGCCTTTGATAGCTCCAGTCGATAGTTTGCACCAAGTTTACCTTGGTGTAACTGAAGTCTTGTTAGGCGTCGTTGTAGCCAAAATTGCACAAGTGGACAAAAGAGATCTAAATCTTTTAGCTGGATCAATCAAAGTAAGTCTTCCTAGTTTTCAAAGTTGAACTAACAGGTTCGATAATTAATTGTGTAAGTTTTTTTAGCTAACAAAAGACTTTAAAGAGCCGTGCGACCATTATCTGAAATTGAGCACTTCAAAGAAAATGAGTTCAAGGTCTGGTTCATCTACATTGGCCCAATCTTGTTGACAGAAAAAGCGCCCCGACAACTTTTTGAAAGATTTTCAATTTTGAGCAACGCAATTCGCTTGCTGATGATGTCGAGCATTTATGTAGATACAGTAGATATGCTTTTACATCTTTTCTTGAAGACGGAGGAAGCCTATACATATGTAGTTTTCTCACAAAATCTCCACAGTTTGAACCATCTCGCGTGGTGAGTTCGAAATTTTGGGCCACTCTGAACTTGTTCATAAATGATGTTTGAGTCGGCAAATTATCTCTTGCAATCTAAATTCACCGGAACTGTTATTATTCTTCCACTTATTATAGAAAAATACCATAGAAATAAGGATACGATGAAACAAAATGTAGGAGACAACCATCTAGCAGAGCTGTGCCATCGGTTGAAAAATACCGAAAAACGCTTTGAAAGAATTCAATTGGATAATTCTAGATTGCCCTTAGAACAGAGTTGAAAACATGTGCTAAAGCAATGCTAACTTCCTTAATTTGAGCTAGATTCAGCATTGCACTCTACTTCCACCAAAAGTTATGTAACCTTCCTAAAGAATGGTATCTCAGTGTGGTCAAATACAATACTTTATTGGCGGTTGTCCCGAAAGGTTCTCAGTACAATATTTCGAGATTGTGGAATCTTACCAATGTGCAAAGAAAACAGATCTGCCTGTCTTTTTATTTTCTGAAGTGAAACAATCCGACCATGTTGAGATAATCAGTCTACATATATGGCCGAGAAACTTCTTCGCGTGGATATATGTTATAGTATATACCTTATTCTGCTCATAAATATGTTCGAACATGATTAGAATTCACATTGAAGCGCAAAAACAAAGTCATCTTTCGATATTTATTGTTGTAGGAAATACCACTGAGTCATAGAATTTTCTTGTAGTAAGAGCAATGCTCAGATTGATGACCACTCTTGTTTAAGATTTATTGAGGAGAACAACTCTGGTTTAAGATTTATTGAAATTATTCTGGTGCGGAAACTACAAGTATTTTCAGCACTTACAAATAATGTTTAATGTTAGAGATGGAAAATGATTGATTAATTAGTAATATTTTAAAGAGATAGTTTTATCAATAATTTATTTGGTTAATAAATACTAGTTTAGAACCAGTTCCACCCACCCGGGGCTTAGAGAGTTTTTAGTTTTTTTATTGTTTATTTAAGTGAAGGACAGGTGAAGTAGTTTTCTGTCCCCCTTTGTAGTATTTTGAGAAATCCATTTTTGGCTGACTGGCCACTAAGTTTTCAACAACATTTCATACGCAGCAAAAACTTTCGATTGTCAATAGGATGTTTTCCTGATATGGAACTCTCTTTTTATCCTAAATCTAGGCTTTCATTTTTTTGCATAACTACTACAATTTCCAAACAGCATTTTGTTTTCGCTACAATTTCGAAAACTGAAAGCAAATAAGCACTCAAAAATAGAAATAATAAATTTTGTTTTTCCTTTAACATTGTATCAAATTCATTTAAAAAATAATTGAGACTGGTATAATGCTTTCCTCTAATTTTAAAACTCTACTTTAGCTAAGTATTAGCCACAATAAGTATTGTGATAGTATTAGAAGTTGAAAACGGCAAAATTGATAGCGTAAACCAATTATTGTTCCGACTTTTGAAATCTGTGACTATTTTTAGTTAAGTTATGGGATTCTTAAGATTGCCAATTCATCCGCCTTGGGATAATTAACGCACGATATATTTAGTTCTATCAAAGCAAAAGCGGAGATTTAATCCAACTTACAAATAATTTCATAAAATATTAACAGCTCAATTGTACAACCTGACCTATGCAGAAATGTCAACTTTTAAGGCCACCATCGGAATCATATATGAGATGAATGGGTCGGAAGTCAGCCAATCGATGGCGCCGAGAAGCACATTTCTGCACAATTTTACATAGTAAACCAAAGCAGAAATGTGCTTGTGAGCACCGTCGCTTGGCTGACTTCTGACCCAGTCATCTCATATATGATTCCGATGGTGGCCTTAAAAGTTGATTTTTCGCATTCGTGTAAAAGTTTTGAATTTTGATCAGAAATCATATCAATGAACATTAATTACGTATGTGTTGAATATTTTCTGTTTTCTCGCACGTGTAAAACTTTGTTTTTTTTTAATAGGAAATGAATTTATGCTGATGACAGAACTTGCTTGAACTTATTGATCACAACTGGAGTATGTATCCTTGGAGAATGTTTCCATCAGGAAAACAGGTTTTTTGGCGTTTGAGACAACTCCTCCCTTATGGTTTTGGTTCATCTAGGAGTAGGCTTAGGAAATTGTTGCTCTCTCAAGAGTTGAGGAGATTTGCCTACAGATAATGAAGAGTTTGAGGTTCCAACCTCTAAAACCCTCTGATTTTTCTGTTGGTTCTCTTCTCTGTTCAGAGATTGCACGTCTTATGGGGAAAGTTTAAACGCTAATTGAGCCTCATTTGAAATTTCAAAAAATGCTTATCTTACAATTTCATATATGAAAAAATGCTTATCGTACAATTTCCATATATGAAAAAATGCTTACATTACAATTTCCATATATGATAAAATGCTTATCTTACAATTTCCATATATGAAAAAACGTTTATCCTACAATTTCCAAATATGAAAAAATGTTTATCCTACAATTTCTATATATGAAAAAAAAGCTTATCCTAGAGACTCAATTATCTTAGACTCAATTTTCTGAGTCTATGAAACTGTAGGATAAGCATTTTTTCATATATAGAAATTGTAGGATAAGCATTTTTGGTCAACCCGGGCATAACAATTGAACTTTCTACAGGTTTCTCACAGCTCAAATAAATATTGCTTTGAGGTTCTTGCAAAACTTCTGCAAAAATAACCAACTTTAGTGCCAAAAATGATGGTTTATAATCGATTATAATGGATTTTTTTTCTGAAAAATGAAGGATTATAATGGCAATGTTATCAATTTCGTGGTCTGATTTTTACATTTGTAATAGATAATGGATTATTTTCGTGTCGGTAATCCACTATAATCTATTAAAATCCACAGAAATCTGGCAAAATCCATGGTGACGGTTGGAACATGAGAAAAATTGGGACTTGAAAAGAAATCTACCCTTTAGTAAATTGTGAAACTTTCCATTCGTCACGGCGTGTTAGGGGCTACAAACTGATCGGAAAGTTATTAGAAAGTATGAGAGGAAAGTGTGAGCTAAAACGTTCAATTCACCTCGAGGAGGCGGATCAAGCTGAAAACCCTTCGACGGGAACCGAAGTGGGATTCAAACCCATGACCCTCGTACCAATATTCGGGCCTCTTATCCACTCGACCATGAACACTTCATAAAAAATATTCGCCGGGCAACGGCCCCGCTCGCCACGGTGCATTGGGTCAACAAACATGCTGGTTTAGCTATAGCTGCACCAAAATAAAGATACAGAGGAGTTTTCCCTAATGCATCAGCTATTTGTTTTGGACTACGAAATCTGGAACTCATAAAATTGACCCGGGCAATCTTGACATTTGATTGAGTTAGTTTTACCGACGGATAGAGAAAGTATCGGGTCTTTTTAGTTTTTCAGCCAAAATTTGTAGTATGAAAACAAAAAATACTTGCATCTGATCACTATAATTGAAATGTATTGCCAAATTAGCAATATAACCTACTTCACTACTTCAGCGGCCATGTTAAAAGTACTTTGTGGCGAAAAATAAAAAGACCCAAAATCTTTTAGGTTTAGAAACGTTTTCCAGTTCAGATTCAACTCAGATGGTGCTGACATCGCCCATGTTTTGTTCCCAGTATAATCCATTCGAGGGCAGAGTCAGGTTGATTGGGATGATCAAGTACACCACAGGACAGACTGTTCCGAACACCTGTCGAATATTGGCACGCCATCCTCCCGAGTACCTATTTGCACATGATTTACTTATTTGCAACGAGGTAATGATGGATAACGAACATATTCAAGGTTACTTCCAGTTTTAAGATTCAAGGTTACTTCCTATTAATTCGCTCGATCAGCTTTACCCAGATACTTTCCCCCTTCATCAGATTACTTTTTAACACACTTCCTGTAAACCCTTTTACATCCTGTGCTGTTTCCACAGTGTTTTGAAATATTGCGACCATGCCATAGTTAAGGTAATGCGTATGACGACGACCTGACAAACCTTTTTTTAAAAAAATTACCTGATATGCTTAAAAATTGACAGACCAGCGTTTATTTTAACATAAAAACACTAAATCTGTTTAAAATGCTCCAAAAATCGATTAGGAAAAACAATGTTTCAAGGTCTTCAAGGAAATCAAAAACTATTAGGGCAATGTGATACAGTGCTGATTTAAATTATCCGGACTAAAGGTGTGAAAATAAAAACGAACAAGGCTTTAATATTTAAAAAAAACTCTCATTATTCAAACTTAACGGTTTTTTACACTCCTGCCACATTCAACAAAAAATAAAATATTGAAAAACCTAAACAAAAACGTTGCTACTTTTTTCTGGGTTTATTTTCGTTTCAGAATTTTCACTTAAAAAATTCAGTTTACATAGAACATCGAAAAAAACTAAAGTTCCTAAATCTACAGCGTGGGATTTTTTAGAGAAATGTCGTAAGTTGGAAAACGGACATTATTGTAACGCCCGAAAGAGCAGTCGGCCGAAAAAAAAACTAACGAAAGAGACGAAAATTATAATTATTTGATAGCAAAAAAAATCGTTTTGCGACGTCTCAGGAGCTTCGACAAAAAATTGAACCAGCTTTATATTTATCAGCCCGCAAAATTCAATCAATTTTGGTCAAAAAAGGACTGAGAGCACGAGTCAGCACCAAAAAACACAAAATTTTGGACATCAACAGAAAAAAAACGCAAGAAATGGTGCAAAAATTTTCGAGAATAACCACAAAATTTTTGGGAAAATGTGTTTTTTTTCAGACGAAACCATCGTTGAATTATACTCCAGTGCCAAAATTTATGCGAGACGACCCCAAATTTGCGATATCATCCGATTTATATCACTCCAACGGCAAAATTTGGAGGAAAAAGGGTGATGTTTTGGGGCTACATAAAAATTTCTGTGGAAAGAGATATTGTAGTCATCGACGGAAACGTTATTTCTGCCAATTATTGCAAATTACTTGAAACCCACTTGATGGAAAACAATTATCTGGGCGATATTTTCCAGCAAGACAATGCCAGTTGGAATATTTCCAAATTTTCGACAAATTTTTTCCAGGAAAATGGTTTTCAAGTTTCTGAAAATTGGCCCCCACAATCTCCAGATTTGAATATTAATGAAAACTTATGGAAATACATGAAACAGAAGATTCGTAAAAACACCCTGCACCAGTTAAACTTATTCGTCAAGTTTTTGAAACTTTTTTTTGGCAATTCCGGACGACTACATTCATCGGTTATATCGGAGCATTCCTCGTAGAATAAATGCAGTTCTAAAAAATAATGGTTATCATACCAAATACTAAATTTGTCGATTTTTGCTTAATTTTTAACTGTATTTGATAATTAGTTATAAAATTTCATGTACATGTCAAAAAAGTGTAAATTAGGTGATACTATTAACACTTTTCACACCTTTTCTTAATCCGGATAATTTAAATTAGCACTGTTTTGGAGATTTATCCGGATAAAATGAACAAAACTTGAATTTTCTTTCAAACACGTTTCTCTCAAATTGGGTTAAGATTAAACAAAAAAAGACAAAAGTTGCTTAGAATTTCATCAGAATTAATATGGTGGTATTTTTATCCGAAAGTATCAACCAAAATTTTAACCCATAAATGAATCACTTTGGCTTTTTTCAATTAATCAAGAATTACGCTGAAACTACTTTGTTTATTGATAGGGAGTATATATCACAAGAAGCCTTTTACACAGCCCAACAAAATTCTAGAAAGGTTAAATCTCCAAAAGTTTGCGCAAAATGTGTAAAATTTGTTTGTAAGCAAAGATTCTGGGTTTAAGATAGCAAAAATCACATTTATTGACTATCAAGTAAAATTTTTTTTCTCTTATACAGGTTTTTCGAGATTTAATCCTTATAGAATTTTGTTGGGCTGTGTAAAAGGCTTCTTGTGATATATATTTCCTATCAATTAACAAAGTAGTTTCAGCGTAATTCTTGATTAATTGAAAAAAGCCAAATGAGCCATTTTTGGGGTAAAATTTTGGTTGAGCATTTCGGAGAAAAAATTGCACCATATCAATTCTGATGAAACTCTAAGACACTTTTGTTCTCTTCACTTTTTGTCTAATCTAAACCCAAATTGAGAAAAACGCGTTTGAAAATTCAAGTTTTGTTAGTTTTGTCCGGATAATTTAAATCAGCACTGTAGTCTGAATTAGTCTACATTTAAATAAATTCGTTCAGCTAAGTTAATCGTCGGTTAAATTACAATTGGTTAACCCTCGGTCTCAAAGAAGAACTGTCAGTCTAAGAGAATGCTAGAACTCCTGGCGCTTTTATTTATTGAAGACTGAAAGTTCGAATTTCTATAAGCACTTTTATGCAATTACCTTCGCACATCGTGAAGTGCCTCGTACGATGTCTGCCCTTCCAAGACTAGGTTGATTAGCCAACCAGTATAGAATATTGCAACTAGGAGGAGGACAAAGTTGAACTGCAGCAGCACGATGAGGGTGAAAGCGACCCAGTGACCGTAGAAAAGTAGTCCCACACACCAGAGTGGCACACAGAGCACCAGCATGTACCACGTGTTCGGACTCATCTCGTAGATCGCATACAAGTGGAACTCGGCGATGACGTCATAGGTCTGGATGGTGATTATCATGCACACATACAACAGGTAGAACGTGAAGATGCAGAAGTACCTAAAGCAATCGCAACAACAATGACAAATATTAGGTAAAAGCAGTCGCTTTCAGGGCTTTCACCTCAGATAATTTATGGGCTTTTCATTGTTATTGTATCAAGGATTCATTTTGGGAACTCGGTTTTATCGGAACATAAATACATGTTGCCCAATCACGTATTTCAACGGTCGTTTTACAACTTGAAAATTTAAAAACTTTCACACATAGGCGAAACGGAGCTTCGCATTAAATGCAAGCTAGCGAACAAAAAATTGAGAAGCAAATTTGGAAAAACTTAAAAAAATAATAAATTCACAAAAACAGTCGAAAAACAAAAATGAAACGAAACCGAAAAAATGCTATAAGACATTCTTGTTCGAAAAAATTGAGCAAATTAATATCAAACTTTAATTTAAAAACACAAACAACCTCTAGTCTTTTTAAACCAGCAATCAATTTTTGCTTTTCAAGTGAAACAAAATAAGTTATTAAGACGATAAAACTTAAGCCAAAACCATTCAGACTGAAAAAAAAAACAGAAAGGAAAACATACAAGGTCAAGGTTAGTAAAATTACAATGAACAGGAGTAAGTCAAGGACACTTGCAATTACAATGAAAGCTGCTTACAGCTCAAAAAACTTAGCCAACAGACACTTGTAAAAAGTCAATGAAGGCAAGGAAACAAATAACACCGACTTGTTTCTGGAAAAACTTCAACTTTCTTAGTAACTGTTGAAATGCTTCTAATTTAAAGATCCCGCCCTTTTAGGTTCAAATTATGGAAAATTTTGTTCGAAATATTCATATAGAAGAAATATTTTACTTGTCTTATCATTTATGGGCAAACTATAAGTGGGCATTCATAAGTGCCCGAAGTCTCTCCTCTCCAAAATGCGCATAATATAAAGGATGCAAGTGTTGTTAAGCTTCAGTTTTTTTATCTGTCATGAACTTGCTCAAAATTTGTTGACCACATTGTCCGATTGTAATGAAAATTATTAACACACGGACTAATAAAGCCACGACAAACATATTTGATCTTCATACTTAACCTCGTAATACCACTCGTTACACATATATATTGAAGCTCGTGTGAGATGGGGGGGGGGGAGGAAAAAGGACCAAAATTTGTTGCTTAATTGAAAAATGTAGATACACATTTTCTTCTTCTTTCCAAATTCAAGTTATGGCCTTATGGCTTTTTGAATTTAGAGAACAAATTATGATTGATACTTTTTGATAAAAATGACTCAATTAGAGAAAACTGGATCAAAAAGTAAAGTTTATTCGGCTGGGAAATCTGAAAATTAAAATCCACTCGAAACTAGAAGTCGATCATTTTATCATGTCTCATACATTTTGCTGTTCGATAGTGGAGATTGCCTTCCTTTTAACAAAAAAACAAGGTGAACTGAAAAAGAAACCAATGTCAAACCGCGGAAAACAAATTGGAGCGTGAACAAATTTGGAGACTTTAAAAAAGGGCAAATGAACAATACACTTCGTTCATTGACCCTTAAACAGACTTATTGGACCTATTTTAGAAAAATACATATATCAACCATTAACTTTTGAAAGTAACCTGACATTTCAGCTTTGCATGCAACATGTGCAAAAAGCAGACAATTAAACTTTCAATTAACTGGACTGGGAGGGAAATATCGCGTACGGTGCGGGTTTTCTACTCGATTTAACGCAAGAAAAACTCGTTAGGGTCAAGTGTACCATCGTATTAAAGCCCTTTCAGTTGATATTTGGATTTTAAAAAAAATTTTTCGAGACCAAATTGGAAATTTGACACGGACGCGAAGTTGCACTTCGCATACACAGGCAAAATTTGACCGAAAATGCTACTACTGGGAAAATCTGAATGAGTAAAACTTTGAGTCTACATATTTTCTCAAGTGACGCACGCCAACTATGACGCATTAGCAGAACCAGTCAATTTGAAAAAAAAACGAAATTTAACAACTAACATGCCTCAATTTAGGAGCAGTAATAACAGGAGCAGTCGAAGGAGCAGTAATAACATAAATGTAATAAAAGTAAAAAGAATTTTTTTAAACTTGAGATTTGTGAAAATCAACCCCCCACACGCCATATTAAGTACAGTGTTAAATTTTGCTCCTAGTAACAAATCAATTATGGCAAAGCTTCATTCAACCAAATTGGAACTATTTCAATGACGGATTAAAGATCCGCTTACGCAATAATTATCCCAAATTAGCGAAAATGGCAATTTTTAAACCCCCATAAATTTACGAAAAATGATCACAGGTGAAATATCTTTCCAATTTAAGCTCAAGACAAACAATACTTTTTGAATGATATAGAAAAGCCCCGTCAAAATGGCTAGTTAAAAAGTCGAAATTTGACTGAAGAAAAAAAACACCCGAGCACAAATATTCCGTTAATTTCCTTACGAAAGTCGGAGCAACAAAAGTCTGTTAATATCCCGAGCAATGGCTGTACTTAAAAGCTGGTTATTGATCAAAATGAACACTTTCAAAATGAACACATTTTATGGCAACGAAATTTGCATCGCAGCAATATTTGCGACTTAGGTTGGAAAAAAAGATAGTTCATACTATAACACAAGCTTTGCTTGTAAAATGACACTGAACTCAAGATGGATGTTATTCTTTTAATTGTACTGAAAATTCAAGCTCTTTCAGCTATAAATACCTTTCTGTTCTGCAGTTATTTGCCTAATTTAACCGCCCTTAACTTCCTTACAAAAAAGAAAGTAGAAATTCAGAAAAAAAAATAAAGACAGACAACAGACGGTTGGAAAAGAGTCAATGAACGCAAGTAAACAAAAAAATACTGAGTTGTTTTTTGAAGAAAAAAATCAACTTCCGTATTTCCACGAATTAAATAGATGGCCTGAAAGCTCTATGAATTTCTCGACCAATTTATGATCGACTTTTTTTTGAAAAAAATTAACCCAATTTGGGAAAACTGAATCAATGGTAACATTTTCATTTCTCTAGGAAATCTGAAAAATAAAATTCATTTTTGAAATTAGAAGTCAATCACGTTTTTCGTGACTTTTACACTTTTGCTGTTCGATATTGGAGTTTGCCTTCCTTTTAACCAAAGAAATGAATTGAACTGAAACAAAGCAAAAGCCAAACTTTGAATAAATAAATTTAACCTGAACAATTTTTAAGAACCTTTTCTGAAAAAAACAAAAAAATTATCACAATCTATACACAGAGGCGAATCTATACAAAAGTAGAAACAAGCCTCGTATTAGCAAAAACTCGGCTACGTGTAGGATTCGAATCTGCGACCTAGTACAATCAAAAGATTTTGAGTCTCACGCACTAACCACTCAGCCGTGCAAGCTTAACAACCGACAAACACTAGTCACGAATAAAGCAGCTACATATGCGAATAAATTGCCAGTGCGATTCAACAAAAGTGGAGCCAAATACCAATAGACTCATTTTTGCAAGTAAAAATTTGGAATAAAACAAACTGAAGGCATCCACTCTAACTTTGCACGTAACAAATCGCAAAGCCTACAGCCACTCTATGTATAAACTATGCATTCCAAAAATTGCGATATATATTGAGTTAGAAAATTTCTGAGTTTTCATTATTGTTTTGCTGTTTGAAACAAATCACTTTTTTCGGTTCATTTGATGAACTAAAAATGAATCAACTGTGTTAACTTATTACTATTCGAATGTCAAAGAACATGCTATGAAAAAGCTGTAAAGGTGCTTCAAAAGTGGCACCAACATTTGCCATTTAGGTTGAAAAACAAGAAGTTTCGTACTAATACACTCGCTTCGATGGTGTAATAAAAGTCTTAAGAAAGTATATTCAAAATTTTTGACTAAATTATGGCTTCGGAATTTTCTGCGCTACTGGGCATCCTTGTAAGAATATTATACAGAGGCGAAGCTGTGCTTCGCAAACATTAGCGAGAACACGACAAAAAGCAGCTCTATGAAATGCAAAAGGAAAAAGTATAAATAAGCCAAGAAATAGTAAAAATTTGGGCTGCGTTCCGGATTCGAGACTATGACCTACTGTGACCTAGCGATTATGAGTCTCACGCACTAACCACTCAGCCACGGACGCTCAATTAATGACAAACACTAGCCATAAATGAAGCAGACAACAAATGCTATTCAATTTCCAATGCTACAGTGAAATTTTTTTATGAACCCTTTTATTTGCGAGTTAGGTTTGAAAAAAAAAGAAGATTCGTACTAGAACACTAACGCTCGCAAGTGTGATAAATCCACTGACCGCATGTTGTAGTGTGCAATGCAGGATGAGAAGAGGAGACAGTGGTGGTCTCTTTTGAGGACACACTTGTTGCAATGGAAACAGTGCGTGCATCTGGGGGGCCTCTCCTGTCCACACACCAGACAGTACGTCCAGTTACTCCTCAATTCCCTCCCCCTCTGCTCCACTGACGCCCCGGAGGACCTGCACAGATACATACAGGAAGGATAGACTCAAAAGTACATAGAATGCTACCTAAAGAACGTAAACATAGCCCACATAGAGTTTTAAAAATGTGCAATAGTAGTAGTAGTATTTATCATATGCAGAGCTGAGCTGTGGATTGCCAATGAACTTGAGACGAAAAAAAAACGTCGAAAAAGAAAACCAATTTTCGAGTTTCGATTAAAATAAATCACCTTAAATTTCTTTGATTTTCTTGAGCCTTTATGGATTGACACTTTTTTGATATAACTAAACTAATTTGAGAAAACTGGAACGATACGTTTTTTTATTCCGCTGGGAAATCTAAATCAACTTAAACTTACAAAACAACTTCAAAAGTCAAACCACGTACAAGCAATTTTGAGCGCGATAAAAAACAGAGAAAAAACACCACCTTAATTAAAGTTTTGACTTCGCTCATTGACACTCATAAAAACAAATTAATCAAACAGATGGCAAAATTTTCGTCTCTAAGTTTCGAGGTAATTAGTATTATTATAATTAATCTAATAAATCGACTGACCTCTCTAGTTGGTATGTGCTGTCAACCGAGCTCGTCTTGTACCAGTTCATCGCCAACTGCAAAAGTGCGAAGCAAAACACAAGACCGTGGTTGAACTGGGAGTCTTTTTTGTACAAATTCGGATGCAGGTAGAATATTGAGGCTACCAAATCTGTGAGCAAAAGCACCGCGAAGAACGCCATTAACAAATTGGCCACGAAGGGAGAAGTGGCATGGGCTCTGCGATGTCGAATGAAGTCGCTGCGTAGTTCGTGACTGTTCACCACTTTCTTCGACAACTGAGGAGTTGTCACTGCACCACCCATGGCGTGTGAGTGACTGTGTCCTGAGCAGGAGCATTTGGAGTGCATTTGCACCGATGGCATTCCCCCTATCACCACACTCCCGTGAGACCCCGAGTCGGAACTCATTGCAGCAATTCACAGCTCACCTCTGCATGTGATGAATACCACACTATTGCACAGGAAACATTTTGTCCATTTCCCAATCTGCAAAAAAAATTCAATAATATTCTTTTCAAAACGTCAAGTGTGTCAGGCGCTTCGCCTTTTTTGCAACAAAACATCATTGAGTTTACCTGTTACTCAACCGCATCGGAATATTTCAATACAGAAGCGAAATATTTCAATACAGAAGCGAAATCTAAATTAGGTCAAAAAAAATCATTCAAGCAAAGCAAGCTATAACGGATGATTTGACGGAGATGCTTTGAAAAAGATACTTTAACAAAGCATGGTGAATTTAGCATCCCCAGTGCCGCCAGTCTTATTTTACTAATAATGTCACGCCATCCGGAATAAACAATTCGAGGACTACGCTTCAAATTTTGTACAAATAAACAATTGCATTCCACTAATTGGAACAAAATATTTACAATTAAAAATTGTCATGATCTGTATTATTGTCTGTGACATACATCTCTCTGTTTTCGTAGTTCCAAAAACCATTGAGATCTATCAGAATATTGGTCACTGTTTCACCTTGACCACTCGTGATTAAGTCATCGAAGGTTAATTTCAAAGGGTCATTGGGTTTAACCATGTCGAATATTTCGTCTTTGATATCCTCGAAGGCCACTGGTTCTTGATCATGTTGCTTCAGCTGTTCTTGGATTGACCTGAAGAAATAGTGCAGAGCAAAGACGTCCAGGTATCCAAGACTGCGGATGTCCAGTAGTTTGAAGATGTATTGCAGAGCCTGCGGTTCTCTTCTGTTCTCGAGAGCCAATACGAAATCCAGATATGTTTTGTAGTCCATTTCTCCTTCATAGGTCAGACATTCCTTCAAAGAAAAACGTATGAAAGTCACAGTAAATATATCATGTTCAATCAATATAATGAACCCATGACCGGAGAAAAATTTCCGGTGCTTCGAATTTTTGAAAACTCGAAGCATATATTTCAATTTTTTTAATTCAATTTTTTAATTCAAAATTTGAAAACCATAGAAGCGTCATATATCGGAAAATTAAAAGGCCATCGGAAAAATTTATAGGCAAGATTTGTAACGCCTGACAGTCAGGTTGCCTCACTATAATGTTGCCAATTTCAAATTTAGTGAAGTTTTCTACAGATAAAATTTTATAAAAATTTTTGAAAAAACAAAAACAGTCACAAGTCAGAAATGTAAAGGATTTGAGCAGTCGCATTTGAACACAAGATTTACCACCCCTCAGAGTAACCTCACAGTACCCAACTAGATGGTTGGGAATTTCGAAATTTTTAGAATTTCTTCAAATCTAAGTTTTCTGAAAACTTTGGGAAAAATCATGAAAAAACGTCATTTTTCAAGAGCTACAAGAACTTGAGCAGTCAGATTTGGTGGAAAGATTTACAAATCCTGAGATTACCCTGAAAGCGCCTCACTACAGAGATGGGGTCTTTAAATGTTGTGAAATTTTTATATCGATAACAAAAAATTTTGATAAAATTTTGATAATACTAAAAAAAAAGTCGTATCTCGGAAACTAAAAGAATTTGAGCAGTCGCATTTGGACGCAAGATTTGCGATTCCTTATAGTACCTTAACATTACCCAAATATAGGGTTTTCTTCAAATGTAAGTTTTCTGAAAATTTGAAAAGAAAAGCTTAAATATGACAAGATGGTGAAGCCCGCATTTGAATATATGCTAGATTATATTATGTTCTCAAGTTAGATTATTATAAAAACGTATGTAAACATTTATAGTTCATTTAGAAAAACTTTACTTGAAAGAGCGTCATTATACAATTATTTAGTCTAGTTTCATGCCGATATTCGTAAAAAGTAAAATCACCAATCTCAAATTCCATAAAATTGACATGTCTTTTCGACGTTTGAGAAAAACTCGGAGAATCATTAAGGCCTTACTCAAAATAAAATCCAATGATATTCAAAGTCCAACGTCTTCCAAAAATTTTTGCTTACGGATACGTTCGATCTGTCAGGATTTCATGACTAGTTAAAGCTTATTGAGTGACGCTCATTTATCTTGAGTGGTACATTGCCATTGAAATGTTGTCGAACAAACTCATAAGAGCAGAACAATTCTAGGACCTCGAGGCCAGATAAAGCCAGTGAAGCTACACCAACAACTAATAGAGTAAGTAATTTCAATGAACCTGAAAGATCCTATCTAAGAAAGCCGGAGTGAGCGTGCCAGTGCCATAGTGAGCCAACTCCTCTTTGCTCAGCATGCCGTTATGGTCTTTGTCTAAGTTAAGGTAGTCGCCATACACTCGCAGAGCTGACGTTGCCGAGAACCAGTTATTATTCAAGGACTCCTTCGAAAGCTCTTCGTCTCTTAGTTCCAGCAGGTCATCCAAGAAGCTGCACGCCAAGATGTCCTGGATCTTTATTTTCCCAGACCTCATCGGATCGAGGAAGAAGAAGAACTTACGCACTGCAGTGCACACGTAGAAAGAGAAGAAGCTCTGATCCAATTTGCCCAATTGAGGGAGAGTCGGGATCAGCTCCAGAATATAGTTTTCCAAGTCGCTTTCTTTCAAGTAGCCCTACATAATCAGATATATTGAAGTTTGAGATTTTAGTTTTAATTTCCTGTATACCATCATACTTTCGCCATATAATCCTCATACGAGATTTTGCAGGACGCAGTTTGGGTTGAAAGAGATCGGCATACGGAACATTTAGTTTCAAACCACGTAGTTTTTAAACTTCTTATTTAATTTCAAGAATCTAATTTTAACAATTATTCATTCGAATGGACAATTAACATTGAATTGGAAGAATTTACTTGACCGGCAACATCGTAGAGGCTGAGTCCTATTCTAGTCTGATGAAGCCAGACTTTGCGCATGACGTAATTGAAGAAATTCATAATTGAGATGCGTCCATACGGGTCACTCTGGTACAGTTTAGCAAACACACTTGGAGAAAAGAAGGGCTTGCACTTGTCGCCTGCCTTCTCGGCTACCTTTGTGAAGTCTTCGTAAGTAATCATCTGGTCGTCGCCCATGCCAAATCCACTGACACTTGAGGGATTAGAGGAGTAGTTTTGTTCCAACAGGTACCAAAGATTTTGAAGCTCTTCATTATCTGTAAAAAATATATATTGCCCATATACAAGCGGGTTTAACTACGCGAGCACTACTGTGCAAATTAAAAAATTGAATTACTTGAATTTAATTTCTCTGAAGTATTCGTGACAAAGATGGTTAAAAACTCTACGAACTGAAAACAATTGATTAGCTTGTCTCAATTCAATTGGAACGATTTTGCCACGCATAAATTTCTCACCTTACGCTTTCAGTAACAGAAACAAAATCTTCATCAAGAAGACAAGAGCTGGGCCAAATTAGCAATTTTCAAACAGCCAGAATTTTACGAAACATAGCCAACAGCCAGTTGAGAAAGAGTCAAAGAAATAGTAAGAAAAAAAATCGAACTTTAATGTTTTGAATTTCAAATGAAAAAAGATGCCATTAAAGCTTTGAATTTCTGGAACAATTTTATTTGGTTAAAAAATAACCCAATTTGCCCTGATCTTTACACTTTGGCTGTTCGATAGTCGAGTTTGCCTTCCTTTTAAAATTGCAATAAACTGCACTTTGAAAAAAAATCAAAAAACAACCGCGAAAAAGAAATATTTGAGCCTACATATTTAAAGACTTATGAAAAAATACCATCATTCCCTCTGTAAAAAACTCAACTACGGGAGCCGACATATTCAATGCAGCATAAAGAAACTTAAAAACTATTTTGATCGCCGAAATATGACTGAATAAAAAACTAACCCAGCATAAAAATCCGCACTGTCTTTTTAATCGCAATCTTCTTCAGTTATGTTTTTTTTTTACCAGTGAGACTGGGAATTATATGATGCTTGACTCTTTTCTCTATTTCAATTCATCCATTTTCTGAAAAATTTCAGGAGTTCTTTGTAGACAGCGCAACTTGTTTTGGTACTTTTTTGAATTCTAAGGCGATGTTCTTACAGAGAGGCAAGACGGAGCTTCGCATAACTTGCGATACAACACAAAAATTAAAAAAAAACATAAATCGAAACAAAATTTTAAACGTTCTAAAAAACTAGGTGAATTAAAACTTCCGTATGTCTCGATAAGAAACAACTAGGGGCCAGCTAAAGCTGGAGGTACCTGTTTTATATTAAATGAATTTGCTATACTGATGCTGTACATAAAATGTGATTTCAAAAATTGGACTTTGCTCAAAACCTTAGTTGTTTCTCTACTAAAATAAGTGAGAAGAGTAAAAAAACAAATTAAGATAATCTATTTTCAAGGAGATGATATTAAGGAGTCGCCACTATGCGGGATCAATCATCGCAACCGTTTCAATTGAACTTTACATCTCATGTCTAATTTTGTTAATTTTAAGAACACTTGAAAAGTTTCTGAAAACGGTCAAAAATTGTAAAAAAAAAAAAACAGTCAAAATATTTTCCAAAATCTTAAAAGTTTTTCTACAAAAAGAAGGTTAGGGCCGCTTAGGCGAAGAATACTCCCAAAAACGGGTTTGCCGATTGAACACAACCTATAAATTGGCAAAAAACTGTCAACATTTCTAAACTTGTTTGAAGGCCATAATTTTTTTTCTTAAACAAACTAGGCATAGCCAATTTTAAAGCTAAGCTTTCAGCAACCTGTTCATTCGATTAAACCTATGATATCAGAACTGGCAGGATAGTTAGCGCGAACGATAGCTTTTGTGTGAGAAAACAATATGCGTAGCCGCTTGTGCAAAAAGAATTGACGCAACCTATAATTTCAATTGAACCCAAAATCTTACATTTGGGAGGATAGTTTTCGGGAAAATTTGACTTTTCCCAGGGCGATAACTTCTTGTGTAAAAACATTGGGTGTCCGCTAATGCAGAGGAGCTTCCCACTACAATATCAGATTTGAGAGGTTAGTTTAAAACGGTCAAAAATCAGAAACTATTCCGAGGACCATAACTTTATGTATAAACATAGCCAATCGAAGAAAAGAGTAACTGACTTTCTTGAAAAAATCTCAACTTTGGAATTTCACAGAAAAAAATAGATGCCCTTTAAGCTCTTTCAAATTCTACAACAATTTATGATGGGTGCCTTTTTGAAAAGATGAACCCAACTAGAGAAAACTGGATCAACAAGTAAAGTTTTTATTAAGCTGAAAACCTGAAAATTAAATTCCACTGTTGATTTTTCGCACCATTTCCATGTTCGTATTTGGAAAGTTCTCATGGAATGTTCATTACGTGGAATGTTCATTACCCTTTACAAAATTTTGTTCATTGAACCCAGAAATTTAGATTTGAGCGGGTTGTTTTCGAGAAAACAAAAACAAAATCCAAAATATGGGTCAAATAATCCCCACAGACTTTTTCGAAAGCTGTAGACAGAGGGATCAAGTAAAAATATACTCTGGTAAAAATGCAGGTACATAGGGGAGTAAGTGGTCTTTATATTGATACCCATTTTTTGAAAATCAGTAGAAATTTCTGAGAAAAACCTTGAGATGACTGCTGAGATGAGTGTTATAATTGTCTTTCCCTTGAAACGACCCCGAATTAGGTCCTTGAGCCGATGAACAATAGCAGAAAAAACTTGGGCCGAGGAATTTTTTAGCGTAACAAAAAACAAAGGAAATACGAAGTCAAGGTAAGTAAAATTACAAATTGTAGGAGTAAATGTAACACTAAAAGCAACATTGAAGAAAATTTTACGCAGCAAAAAAAACGATTCCAAGATGGGACAACTAAGCCGACAAGAGATAAGCATACAAATAATTGGCTAACAATTTTATTTGAAACAGAATATTTCCCGTTTAAAAGAAAAGCACGTCCTGGTCAGATTCGAACCCAGGACCTTTGCCGTCTCAGGTATATTCGTTACCTCCACGCTCAGTTGGCCGGGAATGCATAGATGTTTGAATTGATTATGAACCAAGATACAAGTGATTCTGTTCAACGACAAGTTAAACCCAACAATGTCTTTATTTCGGTTGAATAACGCTGACATATCTCAAGCGTAAAGACGTTGGAAAGCATTTTCTTAGTATCTTTGTCATCTCGATTTAATTTTCTACACATTGATCGCACGCTGTCGAGTTTCCGAATAAAACAATTTCAACAAAAATTGCGATAGACAAACGGCTGAGAATCGACCTAGCTGCAAAAATACAAAGCTTGAAATTCATACGGTGGGTTAGTTTACCTAGCATATTCTGACGTTTGGTTATTGACTTATTACACCTATTCATTTAACCAGTCTCACTGATAGTTTATTCAAGTGGACTTCCTGTCGCTTTCAGCACTTTGATCGATTGAAGAAACATGAGCTGAACGCGAGCTGGGCGATAACAATTTGATGATCTTGTTCCGCGCATTGAAAATGGGCAGGAACAATGTGCTCGGGTGTGTTTACTTTGTTCCACGCAAAATTAGCTACCACAAATGATCATCAGACTGGAATAACCTCGCAACATTATCACAATGACATTTCCTGTTTTTTAAACCAGGGTTTTATCCAATTACATCACCAGTATCCAACTAAACCAGGGTCTACCTTGCAACTACAACATCACAATGACATTTCCTGTTTTTTTTGAACCGAAACGGTGATGTGACCACGATAGGCATGGAATAAAAAAGCTCCGCACCAATACAGTTTAATTTATTACACCAGAGGAATAAAGCAAATTATTAAGAGAGAAGCCGCCGAAACTAAGCGATCAAGAAGAACAGCTGCCGTGAATAACAAGAAGCAGGCTATCGCAATTCCGTAGCGTTTACTCTCCACTTCTTAATAACTACAAATCATGAATTAACTCAAAAACTAAAACTGAACGCCCAGAATGCAAGCAAAGCCCACAGGAAACCATCATTTGTTTAATTGTCCCAGCAGGACCCCAGACCTAACAATAGAAAGTCAAAGTGTGGAATGAACCTTGAAAGGTAGCACAATTTCGCAACCTCCTAACATAAGGAGAGCGGGAATGCTAACTCCCTTAAGAATTAAAGCACAACTAGCCGACGCAGATGCTGATTGCACAGCAACATACATAAGACGGAAAACTACAAGACGCCCAGTCTCTGAAATGGGGTTTTGAGTAGTCGCCACTCTTAACTTTCTACTTCATCAACATCAATAAAGAAGCACTTGTTGTTGTTATTCCATCAGCCCTAATAACCCCGAACGCCCATAGAACTGACGACTTGCACAGTGCTTACCTATCAAACACTGGAGCACTTTCGAAACAATCTTATACAGCAGATATGTTTTAAGACGAGACGAAATCAAGCAAACAAGAACACCCGACACAAATCCAAGCATGTAAAATCATTCTGGGCCATTCGCGATGGCCACTGGTTTAAACAACAACAATCTTCAGACTGGGTTGACTGATATATCATGATGAAGCTCTTTCAGTCGTAAGTCGAACGATTTTTTTCAACGAACTGTCCCACTGCCGAGAAAACCTCGAAAATTTCGAGTGAACAAAGTGAGCGAGCTGGCTAATAAAATGCTTTTGAAAACAAAATGAAGCAGCAGAACTTACTTTCAAGTTTCAATAAATTAACTTTATTCCAGTAAAACAAACTATCGAAACTTTTTAGCGCAACTTCGGGGGGAAAAACTTTCTAGTGATAGTCTATAATACTAAGTGTCGAATAGGTCTTAGTTTAAAGTTTTCACTCAGATAAATTTTTTAAAATCAATTAAATAGGAACTTCAGTAATACGACAGTCCGTGCACACGCAGGGCCACACCGACGCTAAAGAAATTCATCGGCAAACTTCCTGAAGTTTGATTCTGTGCAACCGGGAGTGAAGAAGCTGAACAACGTGGAAAGTTCTACTTGTGCGATAATTAATGAGGGTAGCTTATAATTGACAAAATTCTGGAAGCTATGAAAGCTCACTGAAACTTTTTTCAATTGTTTGCCGATGCGAGCGTTCATAGGTTCTAGAACTTTGTCAAATTTATTCTACCCTCATTATTTATCGCACAAATAAAACTTCCCATTCTATTTGGATTTTTCATCTTCTTTAACTCCCAGATGCACAGAATCGCACTCCAGGAGTGCAAAACA